AGGACTTCCATCTTGCAGTTTCAACTTGCTGTCCAAATCTTGTTTCCATTTCTGGCAATTGGTGAAAGTGCTAAAATTGGTGACATCAAACATTGCAACACAGGCTGATGCCTCCCTGTAATACAGTCGAGTCATTGATGTGAAACGTTCCTGACCTGCATGTTAAATGAGAAGTGTTAAATCATTGTCTTAAAGCAAATATTTTTTGATTCAACTATTTCAGGGTTTTATCTTTGGTATTTCACATTAAGTTTTTCTCAATCAATCCAAATACATTCACAGATAATCCAAAATAAAATGGAGGTTTCACACCATTAAATGTGCTGTTTATTGACTCATAATTCGTAATGTGCTAAGTAAATAAGCATTATGCCTGCCAGACTGGGGAAATGAGAGATTAGGGTCTACTGAGAAAGTGGCTTTTAGTAAATTAGAAGGTTGTGATTTCTCATTATTGGGCAAGGGCGTTGACTTTCAAATTTTCTTTCCCAAAATCTAAAATGAAAACCAATGCCTAGACTAAGCATTTGCTTCAAGATGCACTTTGATGTTAAGTATATGTCTGTCTCACTGGATCACCAAGCAGAGATGCCTAGTTTGATCTTCAGATGGCCAGTAGAATCCTTGAGCATACCTCTCACAGACCTAAAAAACTTGTCAAAAGGAAGAGACTCTCAAATCAAGCTTGACACCTGACAACTACATGTGTGTAGCCATGAAATTGTGCAGAAGTTGTGCGGAAGTGGCTTGCTTTTGCCTTCTTCCAAAATGTTTTTTTTTTCATCTTTGCAATTTACCTATAGCTCTGGAATTTTCTGATGGTCTCCTATCTAAGTATACTTACCTTTTTGAAACAGCCATATTTCTCTAGTCTAGCTGCTTCCACCTGCTCTAGGCTCAAAAGCCATTTCCTTGATGGTTGTTTTTAATATAAGAAAAAGGAGGAAATTATAGCTATCTATATAATAAATAAATATACATATAATATGGTGCAGAACCATGTTTTTACACATTTATAGAAGGCCAAGAGAGCAAGGCCTCCTCATCTTGGGGGGAAGTGTTCCATAGGGCAAGGGCAATAGTAGAGAAGGACAGATTTTGTTGTTCAAACAATACAGGGAGTGCTCAGCTTACAACCACAATCTGAACTGGAATTTTAGTTGCTAAGTGATTCAGTCATTGAGTCATCCATCACCTGATTGGACCTGATTTTATGACTATTTTTATTGTGGTCATTAAGCACTTGTTAAGCGAATCAGGCTTCCCCAATTATTATTATTATTATTAATTTGATTTATATACCGCCCTTCTCCCGAAGGACTCAGGGCGGTGCACAGCATATTAAAAACAAATAACAATAAAATACTAAAATAAAGTTAATAAATACCAAAATAAAAACCCCTCTAAGACCAAATTAAAAGCCAAATATTAGTAGCTGTGTCGTAATTAAAATTATATTAAAAATCATCCCTAACTAAAATCCTCCCTAGGTCAGGCCCGCTTGCTGGAAAAGCCATGTCTTG